CCAGATTAAAGCAGATTACGCAGACGGAGAATAACAGGATTAGCGAGCGACTGGAAATGAAATCTGATGAGAGAGAGGCTCAAGGGCGGCCATCTTGGGCAGGGCTGGAGGGGAGGGAGGACACAGACGAGGCGGCCATCTTGAGTAGGGCAGTTTGAACCTAAAGTCACAGAGAACGGGAAGACTGGGAGATATTTCGACCGTTCTCGTGAATTTTTTGTATTTTTCTAGAGCTATAGTCGATAAAAAAATTCTCTCTATATAAATGGACATAGCTGCTGCGTTTTAAACAGGAAGTGAACACAGGCGCGCTTCTGGCTCCATCGACTCTGGCTCCAATTCACTTTCAAATGAAAATTCTTTCTGTGTCTCTGTAACTGCTCCTGTCAGACTCGTCATTTTGGTCTTAAAATGTTCGTAATAACCCATCTACATGATCCTGGGTTTTTATTTCACTATTTTGTCCGTAAATCAAGATATGAACTTTAATAGCAGACAAATCAGGCACCTTCTTAGCAACAGGTTTAATTGACATCTCCCATGATGCATTTGGAATTGTTCGTCTCTGGTTTGGACCCGAGTTCACGTTCTCACCAGAGGAACCGCACCAGAGTTTGGAGAGTTTTGGTCAAGCGGACTGAAACCAGCTCTTTTTTGAGGTCTCGTTCACTTGATTCAGTGCAGATCCGAGTGTGATTGAAACTTTCACCCCAATGAAAACGAACCGAACTAAGAGTTTCTGGTTGGAATGGAACGTTTGGTGCATCAACTGCTGTCGATGTGAAAGAACCCTTAGGTTACGTTTACACCAAAATGAATCATCGAATCACTCTTTTACCGAATCAGAAACATTTGCTCACAACGTCGTTTTCTGTCCGCAGCTTCCTATCCACAAGTTTGAGCATATTTGTTTAATTTTACAGAAAAAAACTTAAACCAATGGATTTTTGCTAAACTGAGAATCACCAAAAGTGGTTCGCTTCTGGACTAAAGGCTCGATAGGGAA